GACGGACCGCGGTTTTGCGGCTTTTTCTGCCCTAATGATATATCGCGCTGATATGTTGGGTAAAACAGGACAAAGACAAACAAGAAGAATAAGAATGAAAATCAAATGAGATAGAAATGAAAACAAAATGAGAAAAGGATGAAAATGAAATGAAATAAAGATATGAACAAAATAGAACAAGAATGAAAAGAAACAAAGAGCGCCTTAAACAGATTAGAGTTTGTCAGTTTTCCGTCAAATACTTTTATTTCTTTCTTATTTATTTACTTATTTATTTATTTTTTTTTATACAAATGGTTAAGATGCGGCGGTGATGGACACTGTGAATACCCTGATGCAATAGCATTGAGAAATGTTTTTTCTTCGAAAGGATCGACAGAGTTTCATGTGTCGCCATATAGAACGGATAAGTGAGTCGAATCCTATTCTTACAGGGATATACGGGTTTGTAGCTTTTATTCACATTAATATTAAATAGATACGTGTGCACGACATTCTTCTTCGTCGTTATAAGATGACTCTGGAGACAAATTCACAAGCGTGCGTTGAGATGATTTTTGTTGATTTATATACACAAATCATGATAGGTTAGAGAGAGGAACGACTGCTTGTTTTTCCTGTTTCTTTTTCTTTTCTTAGATAACCCAACGACCCCAACGTTATTCTCGAGCGGGTTTCATAATAGGATTGTTTACAGGCGAGCTACATTATATTCTCTGAAATTATGTGACAGGAGCTTTAATTAAAACAAATAAAGAGGCTAATGTACTCGTATTCCGACGGTGTACTCTCTTGGGAATAGAATGTCTCTCTCTTTCTCTCCCTCTCTCTCTTGCTTTTTTGCCTCTCGAATCGCTCCAAAATGTTACCTACATAAGAACAAAAAGCCTATAAGATTACTCGAGTGATTAGCGCGCGAACACTGACCCGGCTCCGAACAAGTCTTTTAATCATCGCAATTAGATTAGTCGCGTTGCCATTTATTACTTAATTACGCTGCAATTAAATGACCTTCTGCTATATTCTACTACCGGAATTATCTCGGCTACTTTTGAATTCTATTGTTTGAATTCTATTGTTGTTTCTAAAGGCATTGGCAAATTAAGACAATTTAACGCGGGGAGAGAAAAAGGAAAAAAGTGAGATAGTGAGACAGGGAGAGAGAAAGAGAGAGAAAGAGAGAGAGTGGGAGGACGGTTGCGGATAGGATGAGTTTGGTGTTAAATTCCCACCATGTTTAATGCCGCGTAAATATGTCAGTTTTCGTCTAATAGTCAGGAAAAGAAAGTGGCACGTTCAAATTCGAATTTGCATGTGAATTTAGCTGTAAGCTTGTGACAATTCGTCAGCTCATGGAAGGCCGCATATTAATGAACAATTAACTTTGGATTTGTGTAAGCACACATAATGTGATTTCTCTATTATATATATATATTAAAGAATATATCATTATGGTAATTTTTAAGTTATCTTGTGGCCAGTACATCGCCTTTTTGATGAGGCTATCATTAGGATAGCATGCGTGCATGCGTATACGCGACAAAGGATTCCTGTATTTTGTCATCGTCCCCCGTATTTCACTGTTTCTTATCATGATGCCCTGACTATGAAATACGTCACCCATGAGAACCGTACCCGCTTATCGTTCTCTCTCCTCCCTCCTTGTCTCTCTCTCCTCTCCCCTCCCTCTTCCACCCCCTCTCTCTCTCTCTCTCTCTCTCTCTCTCTCTCTCTCTCTCTCTCTTTCTCTCCTTTTCTGTCTTTTCCTCTATTTCGTAGCTAGAAGAGAAGGAATAGGAGAACTGTGTGTATGCAAGGACGATTAATTGTATTTGTATCGACAAGGCGCAAATCGTTGCACCAACGACGACGACGATATCACCTATATATGTTATTTAAGCAGAAATTAATATTGCTCGTATATATATATATGTCATTATTGAACGAGGAAAAAAACACAAAGCATCTATGAACGGTGCAAATTAACGATAGAAATGAAAGATTTTGACGAATAATTTTTCGGTTTCTTCGGAGAAGTTACGATCGACGAAAATGGAAAATTATTTCTAGCAGATTCAACAGCAGTAAAATTTTCACTTCTTTACGTTGTATCGAAGGAAGAAGAAAAGAGGAAGAGAGAGAGAGAGAGAGAGAGAGAAAGAGAGAGAGAGAGAGAGAGAGAAAGAGAGAGAGAGGAGGGAGAGGGAGGGAGGGAGGGAGAGAGAATATGTGTGTGTGTATGCGCGTATGTGATGAATCGAATCGAGAATAGAAATCTTTGATTAATTTTTGGCATGCGTAGCAATATATAAAATAGGCAAATTTGATTCTCGATGTGTATATGTATGTATATATGTGTGTGGTACATATACATGCTTAACGATGTAATTATAAATTTCAATCGAGCGAGGAAAGATAATTACAGTGAGATGAAAAAATATACATATATAGCCTGCATCCCAAGCGTATTCAACACCTACGTAATTATAGTAGACAATCGAATCGATACGGTAATTATTTCGCGGGCGAGCAACAGGAAAATACCAGTCAAGCGGCCCGTGTTAGATTAATAAACAAAAATTATTGTATAATTAGTAATAATATCCGAGATATAACTTCTGAAAATATACATTACACGGCGGATTAATGGCAGCGCGGATTTAAACGAGTAATTTATGTGAAATATATGCGGCCGCTTAAACTCCCGCGTAATTAAAACGCCCTTTATTTTCCCCATTTTCCGAAGCGACGTCGATGCATTATTTCTTTAGCGCGGCGATTTTTGCGGAATAATGACGCGTTCAATGGAAAAAACATATTTTCATGGTGCAACATTTGGGCGCGTGGAAATTTGCGTGATATATGAATACGAAATTCGAACTCGAGGTTTACAAATTTTAATCCTCGTTAAATTAGACAGTTTTTATATCGTCGTTTCGGCAGTTTATACATTCCATAGTAGTTCGCTGCTCTCTCTCTCTCTCTCTCTCTCTCTCTCTATCTCTCTCTCTCTTTCTCTCTCTTTTCTGTCGGACGGAAAAAGAAAGGGAAAGAGACAGAACATCAGCTTTGCAAACACAAAAAAGGCGCCAATTTGTAATACAATATATCGCAAATTATCTGAGAGCGCGAAATTTCACTCTTATTATACACAGAGGCACACGGGCTTTTTAAAATTCACGAGATTACGCCCTTTTGCCCGTCGAACGATACGCTCTCGTAACTTTGTCGCGATGCGTTAAGAAAGAGTAATAGGGGAGAAAGGTAGTCCAGTTAGAAATTGTCTTTGGATTAAAACGTAATTGGATTAACGATTAGTAAGCTACACGAGAGATGATCGCGCATGCATCGCGGAAGAATACAGCTTATTAACAGGATTATTAACGCATTTTAATTAAACGACGACGCACGGAGTTCATAGAGGAATCGAGCTGCCGTTCGAGCTGCGCTACCCGCCATGGCCTGTGCCGCGACAGAAACGCGATATATCTATTTCTTCGTGTTATACGGATTATCCGGCGATAGCGCGCGCGACTGCTGGAATTCACGCTGCCGGGGAGACAACGAGGAACATATCGGTGCCGGGTCGGGAACTGTTGCTAATCGTCGCCGCAATCTCGAATTAATGGCACGAAAGCTGCGCGCGGAATTCGGGATTGGTGGTGTGCGACGCGATGCGCCTAACCCAGCAAAAACGTCGTCTCGTCTGCCCGTCCGTGCGTCTGTTTGTTCGCCCGTTCGCCCGTTCGCCCTGTGCGCGTATACATATTGCTCGAAACGATAAATGCTGCTGCTGCGCTCTGGTGCATACGCCTCGATACGTTTTATGCAAATATCGCAACTGCGCCGCTGTATGGAGTTATCGGTGAATTCACGCGTGTCTCTCTACTCCGTGAATCGTACTGGCGGTGGCGGCCGCGCCGCGGACTCGTACGGAGTTGACTCGGTCTGCGAATTTTACAAGAGCGTTTCGAAACGCCGCGATCGCTCGGTCTCGTGTCACATTAATTAAAAGGGACCAGTGTTCTTTAAACATCGCTGTTCGGTCGTTGCATTATTTCGCGATCTAGAGGTACCAGTTGATATCTGTAATATCGTTATTTGGTGAAATATATAAAAATTTGTACGCGGGTACGCGCGTACTCGCGTGTGTGCAAACTCGCGTGGGATATTTTAAATTATGAAATCAACTCTTACGTGCCGTGGCGTCTTTTGTGCAAGATTCTTACGTGCGGACTCGACTTTTGTCGTTTGAGACTTTCAATAAATGCCGGGAAGAAAAATTTGTCGCAAGGAAAGAAAGAGGGAGAAATTTGTATTATTTTTCCCAGGAATTATATATATATATATATACACATATACATATATATGTGGCGTGTACTTAAATTATCCAAATCACAATTAAAGATACCGACATTTGTCCGAGTGTAAATCGATCTTGGCGAAAATATAAAACCTCCCTCATTTGGGGAAAAAACGTCGTTACTATTTCGCAATTTAAACGTGAGAAAATCATCGTTCGTAAATATTGTTGATCGTCCTAATTTCAAGCTCTGATTCTTAAATGCAATACGAAAATCTCATTTTTACATTAATATCTCCGTCGAGGTTCAACATCGGGTTTCAGAATATACGAAGGTAGGATGAAGAGAAAAAAGAGAAAGACAGAGAGAGAAAGGTGGGCTTTTCGGAATAGTTCCATATCTCGTTTAGAAATAGAATTAAAATCAAAAGGAGTTCGCGACGGTCCCGGACGCGGACGTAAGAAGAGCATGGAGAGAAAAAGAAAGAGGACGCGATTTAACAATGGACTCGGGCTCGCTCGCGCGTGAAATACGATTGACAATTGCACGTTTCGAAAGAATATTCGCCAGACGAGTGAGTCAAACTACCGGGCAGTCGCCAGCGGTGTCTTGCACGACGCCGCTAGTTCGCTTGAAAGTTTCTTATTTTCCAGCGCGAAATTCTCTGCGGCGATGCGGCGAGCAAACGAAGCGCCATCCCCCGCTATTGATCGTCGCCGGCGTCCTCAACATGGCGCCGGGGGTGGCGTTCGCGCTGAGCCTGATCCTCGTCGTCGGTCACCTGCAGGAAGGGCCAGGCACTCTCGCGAAGACTTTCACATTTCCCGAGTATCCGTACAAGGAGACCACCAAAAATGTAAGTCGGCCGTCCAAGTCCGCCGTCGAATTCGTTGTTCGCTGCAAGTGGTGCCGCGCGTGCTTAACGCCAGGTACAGGTTATGATCGAGCAACCCCCATTCTCGTGCGAGTTGACACTTTTACGACGTCAAGACAGGTGTGCGACGGTAATCCGGCTTGACGCTTCTTCGTTTCGCGAGCCTGGTCAGCTGGTTAATAAGAGCCTTTTCGAGTTATCACGTCCGGATAAACACGGAATCGCCGAGGATCGGCGTAAGTGGACCGTTTTCGTCCCGCTTCGCGCGTGATCCATCGACCATCCGGTCGATTTGGTGATTTTATCGGACTTGATTGATCGGAGTTTATAAAAAAGATATAGATATAAAAAAAGAGAGGAAATTTATTCTCGTCTGGAAAAGTGTTCAGAGAAGCAAGTTTAGAGGCATAATGAAATACGTCGTGTATCGAGTAATTATCGTTTACATGAGAAGATAAGAAAGTTCGCGTTGGAGAGAGAGAGAGAGAGAGAGAGAGAGAGAGAGAGAGAGAGAGAGAGAGAGAGAGAGAGAGAGAAAGAGAGAGAGAGAGAGAGAGAGAGAGAGAGAAAGAGAGAGAGAGAGAGAGGGAGAGGGGGGAGAGAGAGAGAGAGAGAGAGAGAGAGAGAGAGAGAGAGAGAATGAAACCGCGATCGATTTGACATTAAGTTAGGAGAAGGGGGATGGAGGAGTATTCGGCTAAAGGCCAAAGTGTACATGGTCGTACCGGAAGTTTGCGAATATTTGCATTGCGAAGTTGAAGCGCGAGTTTAAAGCCACGATTCAGCGCGATTGCAACGAAAGAATTCTCCCTATCGAGGTCGAATTTTACTGATACGAAAAAGTAATAGTAGAATTTGTGAAAATTGCATCTTGAATGGAATGTGAATCGTGAATGTGAGGGAAAAGTACAAGATCGGAAACAAATCCCCGGATCCCCATGATATAATATATTACCTCCTTTCTGTGTATATATGTTCTACATTGAATGTTTAAAAACATTCGTTTACTTATTAAGAGCAAAAGAGTAAAAGTGTCAAGAGTTAAGTGTATTTGTGGACAGAAAAGTTCTTCGAAAGTGCTCGTACAAGTTTAGCAGTGTACACACAATATATTTATCTCAACCCAAATTTTCATTTCCTTTTAAATAGAACTTGCGATTGCTTTCGTGGAAAACTGCAGATTTCGAAAAAGAAAATATATTTTATTATTTAAAACAAATTTCTCCTGATGAAAAATTTGTACATTAGAAAATATGTTATTAGTGCTTACCTATTCTTACGTATTCTAGTAAGAGTTGTTTTCTAGTGGGAAAATTTTCCTATTATATAGAGAAAAACAGATGTATCCTAAAGCTCACACGGCGTATAACGGATTTTTATCTTGCACAACTTGCAGCATTGTCTTACACACTGCCGGAAGATATCGGCCGCGTTCACGTTCGGACGCTTTTATTCCGCGTCGCGGAGAAAGGCGAATGCGTGCAGAGTAACTCGGCGAGGAAAATTAAAGGCATATAGCATGCACAATACGCCATGTTGCCGGATGTCATATTGATTTTAATTGAGGTTAATCCTCCGACATGCACGAATCAATTGTTGCATTCCGCTTTACTTCATCGCGACGCGGAATGCAAGTGTCGTTTTATTAACGTCGCAGGAGACGTGCCACGAAATACGTACTTGCATATCTGAATTAACATTCGCCGGAAATTAACGCTTCAGCGAAGAGGTGCAATTCGCGGTCATGATTCACGATGTATTAAATTGGCAACTGATTCGCGGTGGGTTTTCATGCAGGCTGGAATGTATCAACATTGAAATATCGTATAGTATTCACGAATGGCTGAGGGCTAGAGACAACAGAAAGATGTTCGTTATGTACATTAATGAGAGAAAAATATGTAAAAAATGAAAGAATATTTTTCGGTAAGCACTAATAACATATTTTCTAATGTACATATTTTTACATCAGGAGAAATTTGTTTTAAATAATAAAATATATTTTCTTTTTCGAAATCTGCAGTTTTCCACGAAAGCAATCGCAAGTTCTATTTAAAAGAAAATGAAAATTTGGGTTGACATAAATATATTGTTAGTATTGAAGACGAATCTTTTAGAATTGTTGGATATTTTTCAACGGAAGATTACAGCTTATTTTTCTCTTTACATATTAAAATAAATTATAAAATTTTTTATCTTCAATTTTTTCACCATTGTCTATGCAACGCAAACATTATTGCGTCACCGATAAAAATATTCCGCATCAAATAAAGATTTTTCAATGTGAAATCTCCCGTCAGGAAACTTCATCCTGATATACCTGATTAATATGTATCGCATTTTATTCACTTTATAAAATAAAATCATTTCTCTCAAACTTTAATCAATTCGTTTCTACGAAGATCAATTATATATGTAGCGAGGTAGATGAAACTTTACACGCACGCAAAGCGACGTTATATAAATCAATGTCATAATTAACAATCAGTAAAATATTGTGTTGCGCAGGAGCTTCTTTTCCGGCAATTCGAGCAAGCTTGCGAGGAGAGCGGCGGCTGCAAAATGTTGTCGCACAGGAGCGGTGTCGCAAAAACAAGATGCATTCGAGAATGCGTGTCGCCGTCTTGCTACAAGGAAATTTATTTATTCGATCAGGTAGCTAAGTGTGTATACTAATTTCGGCAATTATGGCAATTCCGTTAATTGCACTTGCTTACGTTGCTCTCTCACATGTACGTGCAGTTATACAGGATAATCCATTTTAAAGACTCATTTGAAATCAAATATTTCGGAAGGAATACATTTGGAGAAGAAAATATTTCAGAGAAAAATTTGATCTCTGAAGAGATGAAATCAAGATTACTGTTTTTATCGTTCTCTTAGAAACAAGCAATTTTCTTATTCGAAACAATTTTTTTACAAATAATGTTTTTTCTCGAATATTCCAAGTTTGAAGTGGATGTTTAAAATGGATCACTCTGTATATTTTGCGCGTGTATACTGTATACTGACGATACAAATAATGAACGATCAACACGTTTCAGCTGGAGGAAGGTGAGATTGACGTGAGATTAAATTCCTTCAAGGGTTGCTTCATGCAGCGAAACGGACGACCGCGCAAGTAAAAGACGAAGGAACGAGGAAAAGCCGCTCGATTTCTAATCGCGAGATGAAAGAACGAGCGAGCGAACTATCGTGGGACGAACCCCTTCGACTTTTATTATAATTGTGAGAAAAGAATGAAAAAAAGGACACAGTCCGTCGAGTCTGACGCTCTCTCTCTGTTGCTCTCGGAGTTTGTTGCTTCAAAAGGATGAAATTGACGGACTAACACACAGGACCGCGCCGCATGATTGAACATTCTACGATAATTGCTGAATGTGTATTATTTACAAATGCACATTGTGCGACATATTGCAAAGAATAATAAATTGTAGAGAGAAAAAGAGAGAGAGAGAGAGAGAGAGAGAGAGAGAGAGAGAGAGAGAGAGAGAGAGAGAGAGAGAGAGAGAGAGAGAGAGAGAGCAATTGTGGTAGGTATGGTAACGATGGTGGTACACTGACGTGACTCGTGCTCAAGTTTCGTGAACAATCTTTTTCTACTTTTTGTACGCACATGTTATAGTCACGAGGACGTCATTGTCATATAACGTTGATAAACGATATTGCACAAAATAAAGGGTTAAATTAACAGTTCGCCGACTAGTATAGCAAATTCCAAGCTGTTTTACCGCTTTTGTACATTACTAAAGAATAATCTTGTTGAAATAATCTTTAATCTTTCGGTACACGCACGCATGCACGCACGCACGTACATATACATATAGATACTATTGATCTGTCTACGATATAAATAACAAATAACAATCTCGATGTATAGCGAGTGATGAATAGCGATATTTCAAAATCATCCAAGCGTTCATTGTTATACGCGTACTTCATTCCCCTTAGATACAAATTGAATTTCAAGTTGAATTTCAAGTTGACGAAATCTTATTGAAAGTAAATTACATCGATCTTATTCGAGAGAGGGGACAAGTCGCAAACATTAAATATTTTGTAGAAAAAGGAAGGAACGCAAGAAAGAAGACGTGTATGTAATTTCAATGAATTTATATAAGCTACTTGTACTGTGATACAACGTGATATGATCTACGAGTTTTATTACTGTTTTCTCGAGTACTGCGACAACGCTGTAAAGGGAAAAAATATGTGTACACATACACATGTATATGTGTATGTGTGTGTGTGTGTGTGAAAAACAGTAATAGTAACGTAAGTAAGATAAAACAATCAATCCTGTGAGATGCGTGTGATTTACGCGAAACGCTTATGGAAGTGAAGGAGCGATATGCATCGCGCGCCGCAGTTGTAGATAGACGTCTTTCTTGATATTAACGATTGCGGAATACTCTTTGAGGTGACCTAAAACTTTGTAAAAAGACGACTTGTACAACAATCTGGAATTTCACGACACGTCGTTACAACTCGTCTTGTGATAACGAAGTTACGTGGTGGCGAATTTCACAAAGTGGTATAATACGTATCGCACGGTCACGACATTGAGGACGAGATTATAATTACTTATGATACTTAGTGTAGAAACGGGACACTAATGTGATAATATCGGCATTACAAAAGAGTCCAACAAAACAGCATAACCATTTGAACATACTCCATGTCTCTTTGCACAAAATTTTCTTATAAAATCTTCTTATAAAAAGGCAGTTAATTAGAAGAGAGCTGACATGTGAAAGCAGTTTTGAATCAATAGATAATTATGTCAATTTTTATGTGCTTTTTTTATCTTTGTCTCTTTCTGTCTTTCTCTCTTTTTTTATCTTTCTTATTAAAAAGAGGGTATGATTGTTGATTTTTTGAGATAGGCTTTACGACGCGACGTGAGGCATTATCGTTTGCTTCCGCGTCGCTTTAAATGTAACTTATCTGTGCGTATGTGATATAAAGAAATTCACAGAGATTAATAACCATGTTTACCTTGCTGATATTCGTTTTTTGCAGTACGACAGCCACTTTATCTCGTGTTAAATTTATTTCGTGTTAGAAGCTCGCATATAAATCTATTTTGCTGTACGGCGATTTTGTGTATGCATTAACAGCTCGATTAGATTTTCTACGTAAACGATTAAAGATTATTCGTGCTGGAATGTGCGTGAAATTGTGTTGGGTGATTTGAGATTTGTTGGCAAGATAGAGATTTTTATACGTGAATTTTTTGTGAGAGGTCTTTTAGGATTGTTATCTTGAGGATCTGTTTTGGCGATGAACTATGTATATATACAACTTTATGTTGATCGACGATTATTCCGATTTCTTTCAAAAATATTTAGACGTATAGATTCTTTAATAGCGTGGCGTCTTTCAAGTAGGTTCTATAAGCATTGTAATGGAAATATCTTGACCAAATATATCATTCTATACTGAAAGATTATCTGTTCTTTTCGTTATTTTTTATGTGAGAATGCACAGAGCCCTTGTTTGTATATTTGTTTTTCTTATGATTTGTGCGACATAACTGCCGACACTAGTGGAAATGTATGCTAGCTTCATCATTGGTGTTATGAATTTTAAACTTGCGGTCCTTTTTTTTCGTTTTCGTATGGTATTGATGATGCTATCGGTGTTGTGTGTTATGAAATATATTGGCATTGTATGTAGTCAAATGATATTAATTAATTTTAGTACAATTTCTATATGTGTAATTACATAAACCAATGCGTTAAATGAGCGTGTAGCTAGTACGGACGTCCACGAAAAATCAGACGGTTTCTGTTTTAGATGACAACACGCCGGACGAGGCACCTCCTCCGGCATGGAGACTTCCGACCAAAGATGTCATCCAAAAACGTCATGACGATTAATACCCGTATTCATTACAAACCCGTTCTTCCTTATCTTAAAAATGGAGGAAGCCTCGATGAAGGATTCGTTGAACCTCCAAGGCCACCTTATTTCATAAATGGATCTCGAGTCTTCCTTCCAGAAGGAATAAAGGAAGGAAGGAAAGCTGCGTTCCTATATTTACTGTCAGTACTGAAATTCTATAATATTATATATGTGACACGAGCTATAGATTTTTAGTAGCAATGGATATTGGACCGCAGCTATAACCTAGCATCGGTTTAGCAGTGCATATTGCAATATGGATAAAGATAATAAAAACGTACATTATACGGAACAAGAGCGAATATTCTTGGCGCAGCTTATCGCTGAGATTATAAAAAGAAATTTCTTCGTCAGAATCATTTAAAAATTCGTTTTCTATTATTTCTTGTTTCCTTTATATACTTTTAGTTTGAAAACGCGACATCACAAGTAAATTATAATGGGCCAAAAGTAAATATTGCAGGTTATGTTTAGTTTTTCCGCGCATCATGTGCTAAAAACTTATTACACTTTTGTGCATTAGTTCAGAAGTGCAGCGAAAGCAACGAACGAACGAACGAACGAACGAACGAACGAACGAACGAACGAACGAACGAACGAACGAACGAACGAACGAACGAACGAACGAACGAACGAACGAACGAACGAACGAACGAACGAACGAACGAACGAACGAACGAACGAACGAACGAACGAACGAACGAACGAACGAACGAACGAACGAACGAACGAACGAACGAACGAACGAACGAACGAACGAACGAACGAACGAACGAACGAACGAACGAACGAACGAACGAACGAACGAACGAACGAACGAACGAACGAACGAACGAACGAACGAACGAACGAACGAACGAACGAACGAACGAACGAACGAACGAACGAACGAACGAACGAACGAACGAACGGACGACGACGATGACTACGACGACGACGAACGAGCGAATACGAATGAACGAATGAACGAACGAACCAATGTTATAATTTATGATTTTTTAGTTAAATCTTTTTATTTTTATTAGATAAGCGCATATATGGCTAATTTAAGGAATGCCGGAAGGATTTATGTAACCATGCTTTGATGTCATCAGATTTGTCATTAATGAAGTATTCTGATTATAAATATTGACGATTTTTAATTCTGACGAAAAAAACCCCATATCAACAGGCATATGTGAAACACTGTTGTACAGATTCGAGTAGTGCGCGTAAATATTATTCATATTAAGTGATGAAACTTTAAAATTGACTAGCCGGATGCTAGAACATCCTTATTTTTATTTAAATGGCGTGTAAACGAATGTTAGTTGAGAAGATGTTATCCTCAGTCGGCAACTTTGCGATGAAATATATTGCGACGCTATAGCGCATGCGTAAGATGATGTAAGAGCTCTATGAAAGCATATGCCAATGACGGCAATAAAGCGCATCGCAAGGTTCATGGAGGGGCCCGCGCTATCCGATCAGCTGTCTTCCCGTGTTTCTTGCGCGAATGCTTTATTTCAGGTTGTGTTGTCCAGTGGATACTAAGTAACAGTTACATTCACATTATATATATATTTGCCCACTAGGACTCCATATTGAATAAAAGAAGATAACCTGTAGTCGATGGTATACATAGGCAATTTACTATTATTTATAAACATTAAGGAACAAATCCTAATGCGACTGGAGTTTGTGGTTTTGGCGGAACTATTAGGGATAGAGGATTCCGAAGAGATAGAGAATAACATATAACACATTTATTTAATGCACCCCAGTCGATGGTAGTGTATAGCCAATTTGTATTAATTTTATAAAAGTTAATAAACTTTTAAACCGACTGGGTTTTGTGGTGAATCTCGACTTAGGGATGCAATAATCAGAGGAGTTGATTGATCCAATCAAAAATAAATATTTATTAATTTCAATAATTATGTTGCTACTCGCATGCAAGCTGAGGACTGGAACCTACAATTAGCGTATATTGCTATAATCTAGACACTCTATAGTGTACGGTGTTTCGGCTATACTTATAGGACGACGGAAATTTTTGGTCGCGCGATCACGTGGTCGTTGATCGGTGCGTCAGATACTCTCTTAGATACTATTTCTCTTAGATACTCATCTCTTAGATACTCAGATTACGCTCTTAGATACTATTTTACATAGTCCTTTTCGGACTTGCAACCTTCTCATGCGCTTGTACTGCGAGAATGCGTCCCACAATAACCCTTATGTGCCAGAGTTTTCATTATTTTAACAAATTATGTGTTTAACCCCAGTCGATGACGTTCAGTGAGTCTCGAACACATGTTTTTGCCCAGTCGCGGTCACATCCTGGCGTCCCATCGACTGCTGTTCTATGGGATCCAGTGGGTTGTTATTATCTGGACTCAGTGCCTTGTTATTTGTCTGGTGTCCAGTGGACTGTTATTATCTGGACCGATTGACTTGTATGGTGTCCAGTGGACTGTTATTATCTGGACCAGTGACTTTTTGTTATCGTCTGGGGTCCAGTGGACTGTTGTTATTTGGACCCAGTGACTTGTTGTCTGAGGGTCCAATGGACTGTTTGTTATCTGGACCCAGTAATTTGTTGTTGTCTGACGTCCAGTGGGATGTCATTACCTGGACGCAGTCGTTGGTATTGACTGTTGTTTTTCTCTCCCAGTCGATCTTGGACTGGTTTTTCAGTTAGTCAGGCCCTTTGGACGGCCTTTGCTGGTGCTTTTCAGGTCTGTCTTTTCTTTTGACAGACTTTCACGGTCAGGATCACATGACCGTTCTGTATACGGTCAAATACACAATATACTTTACGCTGAAGAATTACAGCGCTGAGTTGGCTAGTTAGGTTAGATTTTATTAAGCTTTTATTTACCCATCCATTGTTTTTGAAGTTATTTTGACCCACCCTTCTTGTTTATTTGTATATGGGTCCTGAGAGACGCACTCTTGCCTTTCACCGTAACAGGTGTTACAAAAATAATAAGAACTTACTTGCTAACTTATTCTATTCTTATCTCTAAGTTATATTTACCGACTATAATGACCATAAACGAGCAACTACTTCGTGCTTATTGGCCTTGAACAAAAATTTGGAAATAACTTTTTACTTATGTTGTACTATAACGCCTTGTGGTTTGCTTTTCACGACCTTTTGGTTCCGCAATTAACAAAAAGAAACTATGAACAACAAATAATTAATCGAGCTTTACTAACGAAAATAACGCAGCTTTTTGTGCTGAAAAATAAACTTAATATGACACCAAAGTTCGCCTAAGACTCAGTTCGCGACCTCTTCTCGTGTCTTGTTTTTAAATAAAATAAAATAACATTATGGGACTACAAAAACGTCCCCGTATCTTCGTTTGTTACCTATTGGTATTCCTGGGGTTGCTCCGACCGGTTGACCTCCTCGATCGGCTCGGCAGATATTTCTGCGCCTTTTTCCGCTTCTGCTACTCCTTGCGCACCTTCAAGATGTTTGTCGGTTGCGCTGTCCTGTAACCACTGCCTGGTCACACTGCCTCCGTTTGTCGAGGTGATGAGAACACTCTCGCTGGTACTGCGTTGATCTGCGTTGATCTCGTTATCGATGGCCTCTACAGATGGTTGGCTTATTGATGCAGTGGATGATTCCAGTGTTGTGGTTGAGTATGTCGACTTGTTCGTGTTGTCTTGTATATCTTTTTTGACATATGTTGTGTTTGCTGCCTCCGTTGATGTGCTAGTTGTCGGTTCTTGAGCCTGCGTGGAGTTGTTTTCATTCGGCTCGGCAGAAGTTTTCTCGCTATTATTAGTTTTTTGTGTGACCTGTATTTTGTTTAGGTCAATTCTTGCTGTTATGCGTTTATCTTTGTTAACGATGGTAGTCCTCGTTGTCGGAGATTTATTTAATGTTAGTAGGTTCTCGGGAACGTCTGACGAGGATTCGCTTGTTTGTCTTGTAGGGTGACGCCTGTCTTCTAAGTCTGCAAATAGCTCATCTATCTCTGCTCGGAGTGCGTCGTTGGCTCTTTCCAACTCTCTTCGTCTGCGGCGCGCCTCCTGCAGCCTTTGCATCAGCTCCTTCGTTCGTCTATCCATGCTGGCTTCCTTCGTTCCAGTCAGCGGATGTGTGGTAGGTAGAATTTCGACTTTGGTTAGAGTCGTCGCTGACTTGTTTCTTTGTTGCTCGGTCTCTTTGAAATTCCGAAGCAGACTCCTCTCTCTCGTTTAATGAGGATGTATAGGATGTAAGTTCAGGTTTTGAGATTAGATAGGATAACTCGGTGGATCGTTGCGTGTAGTCTGTTGCTGTCACCACCTAGTCCCGTTCTAAAGTGATCCTAGTTAGTTGGGTCACTTGTCCCTGTGAAAATTGGATGGTTTTTATTACACATTCTATCGCCGCTGTATTCTGTTCTATTTGTTCCTGAGGAACTAAGATTTCGGCCGACGCTTGTGAACCTAAAGACGATTAGAGCTCACCTATTCTACGCCACAATGGATCTACTATTTCCGGGTTGTTGTGGTTCTGGTAAATCTCGTAGTGGGCTTTCTCTCGGTTTATCCATATTTGTTCTATTATAAGTCGAGGGAGTCCTTGTGTTAGGTGATTGTACCACTCGTAAAAGATTAGATCGCCCTCACAGAGGTCGTCGAAATGCTCGCCTGCTAGTTTAGCGGGCATGTGCCATGTTCGCGGAAAATAAAAGTCTCTAACGGCACGGCTGCCGAATTGAATGTTATGTCGTATGACTTTAAATAATAGCGCGTAGTAATTCTCTTTATAATTAAATGGAGCTACTTGACCTTGTATCGTAAGGATATCCGACGAATATCTAAAGATAGAGTCGTATCCCTCTTCTTTTAAATAGCGATTGATACGTGCTATTGGTTTGCTTAGGTCATTTATTTTATTATCTTGATTCTTTTCTACGAACCAAGCGTTTGCGAAATTGTAACAAAGAACCTCGCAGTCCTCATCGTCGACTATTTGACGCGGTGGACCGTAGATGGGATCTGGTTCGGAAATGTGATCAACTACTTCTTCTCTTATTGGAGATAATTGCTCGGTTTGAGTTTTTACATCGACTACACGTATTGTTCTTAGTTGAGGTGGTTGTTTGTACCAGTCGCCTATGTGCACGCGTCTGCATACGTTATTCGCGAAGTCGCTCGAGTAGCTCGTTGTTGAGTTTTCGTTTTTATATGTTTTGCGCGGATCAGGCTTTCATCGCGTTTTCGGTAGTTATTCGCGTTGTCACTATCTGTTGACCAGTCTTTCTTTTCTTCGCGTGGTGGTTGGTACTTCTGTTCTTCTTCGCTCTCCGAAGATTTTTTATTTTCGTGTATAAATATAGGTACGCATTGGTCGAACCTGATTCTTTCATCGAAGTCCAAGATTCTTTCATCCTGGGTGTGCTGCTAGGCCTTGGTTGTCAAACCAGTCGAAGTATTCGTAATATTCCTCTGGCAGCTCTTCATCAAAGGCATGCGCTGCCTCATTGACTCCGAATTTGACCTCTTTGATTTTGTCGAAGGAAAGAGGTGTATAGAACTCCGGTAATTGTTCAAACTTTTCGGTGGACAGATAA